CCCTGGTGGCTCAGATGGGAAAGAATCTGCCTGCAGTGCAGACGATCTGAATTTGATCCCAGCATTGGGAAGATCACCTGGAGAAGGGAATGTGTGTCCACTTTGGTATTCTTGCCTGGAGAATCCCATGGACAGAAGAGGATTCTTGTTAAACAGGAAGACTGTGTTGTCAGATCACTTAGTTTTCCCAACAATGTGAGAAGTTCATTTTTTTAAATAAAATCTCCCACTGCTATATTCTGGAAATGATTTGAAATTGTAAATGGTACTCTGTGGGTTAATAATACTTGGATGCTAGCCAGATTTGCAATCTTTGGTTTGTGTTTTTTCCTTTTTAATCTTGAAAATAATTCTAACAAAAATAGTATTCACAATACCATTTTAAGAAAGTAAACTACTTATTTCCAAAAAGCCAGGTGCTGTTTTATCAATTAGACTGAAATTGACCCCTCATGCTTTGAATATGAATGATACTCACTGGACAAAGTCTCAGAAAAATCTAAACATCTTCTGCATGCCCCAGATACATTCCATCCTTACAGGATATGGCATTAGATCGTATGGAATTCAAATTTCTCACTTTCTAGAGGGAAAAACTGAGCATGAGGAGAAGAGATATGACCTGATTTCAGAGTTTTGGGTCCTCTGGCTTATCCAGATGTAAACCCTGTGATTTTCCTGTCTTGTGATTTCTCTGAAGTTGCCCTCAGGAACGGGGAAGCTTCCTAATCAGAGATCTGTTTTACATGACACAGGGAAGGGGGATGTGGAGAGAGGATCGGCCCATCAGGAAGCATCTGTTTCAGGGGACTGGGGGAGGGGGTTGCTCTAACCTGGGCAAAAGTGAGAAAAGAACAGGAGGACACTGGTTGAGAAAGACAGACAGATGAGAAGGGGGGTGGGGGTGGATAAGAGGAGTTTGTGCTCTTTGCGGGACCTCTGCTGCTCCCTGGTCTCAGGTGGACAGATTGAGCAGGAAGAGGGGAAGGGCTAGGGGGCCTCTTGAACTAAAGTCTATTAACCACTTGTATCATCTGCAGGTTGTGTGTCTTTAGCAAGTGGCTTTACTGCTCTGAGTCTCGGCTTTCTCCTTGACACAGTGAGCTAAGGATCCAGATGTTGTTGGATTCATCTGAGGCTAAATGAAACCAGTCATGTGAAATATCTCAGGAGAGAGCAGACCCTACCCTCACAGTGGGTATTTTGTGTGTAACTGGCTACTGATGTCCCTCTGTTCTCAGGTAACTCGGTGTTAAGAGTTCCTGCCCTTCTCAAGTATGTGATGTGGTTTAAACTGCAAGTAAACATCCTAGGATGAGTGAAGGCACTCTGGCTGTCTCACCCCTGATGTGTACACTTGAGTTTACAGCTTGCAGTGCAGCAGTGTGCATCTGCACAGACTCTGAAGTCCGATCCCTCTTCCCAATCCTCTCTCTACAAGCTATGATCTAAAAAAATCACTTTATTTCCTATTATTGCATGTACCTCCTCGGTCACATGAGGAAATATCAATAGTTTCTCCACTTTCTTTAAAGATTTTCGAGGATTTGATGAGTTTTATGTGTTAGGTGCTTAGGATAATGCCTGCCAAAATGAGGAATTTAAGTTTTACCTGAAGTAATTACTCATTACTGCTATTATTACTACTACAAATGACTTTGACATCTCCAGAGAAGGAATATATACCAGTTGCCTCCATTGTTACCATGGCAGCCACATGATATGGAAAGCATGGATCTCACATGACACCTGAACACATGAGGTTCTGGGATATTTAAATCCTCAGGCAGAAAGTTAGGAATATACGGAGCTAGTACCCTCACTGAGGTCCTGTGGCCCTATCAACAATGATGGAGAGCAGGAGGATGAAGGTGGCTATAGGCAGTCTTCCAAGGTCCCCTGAAGTCCACTCATGCAGGCAGCACTTCTGTTTGCAACACCAGGAGAGGGACAGCAATTGGTCATGTGGTGGAGAGGTATTCAGCTCCCTGCTTCCCTTCGGCCCCCTCTAGACCATCCAGGAATGACCTAAATCAAATCCCTTATGATTATACAGTGGAAGTGAGAAATAGATTTAAGGGACTAGATCTGATAGACTGAGTGCCTGATGAACTATGGATGGAGGTTCGTGACATTGTACAGGAGACAGGGATTAAGACCATCCACCTCATTAGAACTGACTCAAATGCTCTCCTTTTCATAGCTGTGTAATATTCCATTGTGTATATGTACCACAACTTCCTTAACCATTCATCTGCCAGCAGACATCTAGGTTGCTTCCATGTCCTAGCTATTGTAAGTAGTGCTGCAATGGACATTGGGGTACATATGTCTCTTATTGTTTGTAGACTTTTTGATGATGGCCATTCTGAATGGCATGAAATGATACCTCATTTTGGTTTTGATTTGCATTTCTCTAGTAATGAGTGAGGTTGAACATCTCTTCATGTGCTTATTAGCCATATGTATGTCTTCTTTGGAGAAATGTCTGTTTAGGTCTTTTGCTCACTTTTTGATTGGGTTGTTTGTTTTCTGGTGTTGAGCTACATGAGCTGCATGTGTATTTTGGAGATTAATTCTTTGTCAGCTGTTTCAAAACATTTACTATTATTTTCTCCCATTCTGAGGGCTGTCTTTTCACCATGCTTATAGTTTCCTTCATTGTGCAAAAACTTTTAAGCTTAATTAGGTCTCATTTGTTTATTTTCATTTTTATTTCCATTATTCAGGGAGGTGGGTCATTGAGGATCTTGCTGTGATTTATGTTGGAGAGTGTTCTGCCTATGTTTTCCTCTAAGAGTCTTATAGTTTCCAGTCTTACATTTAGATCTTTATTTCATTTGGAGTTTATTTTGTGTATGGTGTTAGAAAGTATACTAGTTTCATGCTTTTACATGTAGTCAACAAGTTTCCCCAGTACCACTTGTTGAAGTCACTGTCTTTTCTCCACCGTATATTTTTGCTTCCTTTCTCAAAGATAAGTTGTCTGTAGATGTGTGGATTTATCTCTGGACTTTCTATTTTGTTCCATTGATCCATATTTGTGTCTTTCTGCCAGTGCATTACTGTTTTGATGACTGTAGTTTTGTTCAGTACAGTTCAGTCACTCAGTCATGTCTGACTCTTTGTGACCCCACAAACCACATCACATCAGGCCTCCCTGTCCATTACCAACTCCTGGAGTCCACCAAAACCCATGTCCATTTCGTCGGTGATGCCATCCAACTGTCTCACCCTCTGTCGTCCCCTTCTCCTCCTACCCTCAATCTTTCCCAGCATCAGGGTCTTTTCAAGTGTAGCTTTGTAGTACAGTCTGAAGTAAGGAAGGTTTATTTGGGGTCCTTTATATTTCCATACAAATTGTGATATTATTTGTTCTAGTTCTGTGAAAAATACCATTGGTAGTTTGATAGGGATTGTGTGGAATCTATAGATTGCTTTGGGTAGTACACTCATTTCCACTGTATTGCTTTTTCCAATCCAAGAGCATTGTATATATCTCCATCTATTTGTGTCATCTAGGATTTCTTTCATCAGTGTTTTCTACGTTCCTCTATACACGTCTTTTGCTTCTTAGGGTAAATTTATTCCTAAGCATTTTATTCTTTTTGTTGCCATGGTGAATGGGATTGTTTCCTTAATTTCTCTTCCTGATTTTTCATTGTTAGTGTATAGGAATGCAAGGGATTTAGAGCCCACCTTTACACATGAGCGGGGACAGGGGAGATGGAGGGAGAACTGGCCCATCAGGTAGCTTGTGCATCTGGGAGCCTCTGACTTAGACTAGAGGAGGACAAGGAGAGGAGGACTTGGGGAGAAAAAGACAGACAGATGAGAGAAGAGGGGGGAAAAGAGGAGTTTCTGCTATTAGGGGGAGTCTCTGTTGCTCCCTGGCCTCAGGTGGATAGATTGAGGCAGAAATAGGGACAGGGCCAGAAAGCCTCCTGAACTAGAATCCTCATTCTACCATCTGCAAGTTGTGTTTCCTGAGCAAGTGGTTTTACCTCTGACATTCTGTTTTCTCCTTGACACAATGAGATGAGAATCTTAGATTTTGTAACAGTGACATGAGGCTAAATAAAGTGGCACATGTGGAAAGTCCATGAGAGAGTAGACACTCACAGTGGATTTATTTATTTATTTATTTTTATTAGTTGGAGGCTAATTACTTTACAATATTGTAGTGGTTTTTGCCATACATTGACATGAATCAGTCATGGATTTACATGTATTCCCCATCCCTTGTGATTTGAATTACAGGCCTCTGATGCCCTTCTGTCCTGGGGCAGCTCAGTATTGAGAGCTCCTGCCCTTCTCAAGGGAAAGGGTGTTTGTGCCAGGAAGGCAGCCCCTCATGTCTTCTGCAGCTCATCACCCAGCTCCGTGCCTGTTGGACATTTGGCTGGATTTGTACCTGGGGCTTCTTGGCAAGGAACCCAGCTCCCTCTCCTTGAACTGAAGTGGAGCATACTTTGTGTCTCTGTGTTGCGTGTGTGTGTGAATGTAAACAGTTGTCTAGGAGTAGTTGAGTTGGAGGGAGGCTAGTGCTATATGATTGCAACTGGGAGTGAATATACAGGAGTGAGTGAAAGGACTGTGGGTGTGTCGCCCCTCACACCTCCCCTGTAGATAACAGCTATCAAGGCAGCAGCGTGCATGTGCCCAAACTCTGCAGCCAGATCCCTGGGTTCAAAACCTCTCTCCCCACTTGATGACTGTAACCAACTTACTTTATTTTGGGTAGCTCAGGTTCCTCCTCTGTAACATGAGGACTTATCAATACTTCCTCATCCCCTCATTTAGGGTTTTTGAGAATTAAATCTGTAAATATGTGTCAAGTGCTAGGATAATGACTGATATATAAAAGAAATTACCTTTTATCTGTTGTGATTACTCATATTATTATTATTATTATAATACTACAAAAGACTCTGACTTCTCAGGGAGAAGGAACATATGTCTGTTGTGTCTGTTGCTTCCATAGCAACCCCATGATGTGGGCAGTGCTGATCTCACCTGACACCTGAAGACAGGAGGACTTTGGGAGGTTTCCATCTGCAGACACAAAGATGGTAAAAGGCAGAGATTGTCATAAAAAGGGGACCATGTGACCCCAAAACCACTGGGGGAGAGAAGAGGAGGAAGTGGGTGGTTGTGGGCAATCTTCCAAGGTCCCCTGAAGTCCACTCAGGCAGACAGCTCTCTTGTTTGTGAAACCAGGTGAAGAACTGCAGGTGGTCAGGCTGTGGAGACCTGTTCAGCTCCCTACTTCCCCTCTGCCCCCTTCCCTTACTCCTTATTCAAAACAGAAAACAGGGTTGCTGCCCCAGCAGGACATCAGTTTCCTAGCTAAGTTCCTGTAGGGACCAGCCAGGTAAAGAGCAGGTTTCCATCTAGTAGAGAAGCTATAGCAATGGTTGTGGGAATGTGTGTGTGTCACACTGGACTTCTGAATTAGGTGAGGGTGGTGAGGGAGTCGGGGGCGGGGGTTGGTAATTTATGCCCAGACATGATGACAACACAGGAGGCTGAAAAGGAGGACCTGAGCTCATACACTGCTGTTCACTTATTCATCCCATGATTTGCTCCCATCCAGGCACCGATTGTCCTTCACATGCCATGCACTGCTTTAGGTGCTAGGATCTTCCCTGAGTGACCATATTGGACTAAATTCCACCTGTACAACTACAAAACATGTTTCCATGAGACCCACAGCAAAGTTAAATTTAAGAAGCATTGATACTGGACATTTTACCCCAGCAGGCTGAAGCAGGACAATGGATAGTGAGGTGAGCACACACTGTGCAATACTGACCCTGGGCCCTTCTCTTCCTCACTCCCCTCCTTGTCTCTCTTCCAGGCACTGAACTGGGGTGTGAGAAGCTCAGACAGCTGCCATCTTTCCTCAGGAGCCCTCCTACAAGGCCATGACGATAAACCAACTCTGCTTTTTGGCAACCCATCTCGCCCTCCTGGACACGCTTGTGGCCGGTATACCAGGGTGTGAAACTAGCAACCAGGCCCAGGGCAAGCCCAGGCTCATCTCTCCTCTCTGGAGGTGGGGGATGACAGGAGTCCACGGAAGGGGTTGGGTTGCTTGGGTGGGGTGAGTGCTGCCAACCATCTCTGGATACTTTCTAGGAAGTGGGCAGTTTAATACCATGAACAATTTTTGACTCTCAAAAGATATTACTATGTGTTCAGCTTTTAATCAAAAGTATCTCAACTAACTCCAGCAGACAAGGGACCCCATCACTGAAACTCTTCCTTCCTGGACACAACCTTCTGTGTACACCTCAGTGTAGTGTAATCACAAGATCCACTTTTGTTCTCTGTCCTCGTTCATGCCCAGGCTTCCTGAGACTCTTGGAAATTACTGTCTATCTGTAAGACATGATATGAGTCTAGGGTGGAAACCTAGATAGCATCTGGATGGGACTGGACTCCAGAACATGCCATCGGGTGCTTAGAGGGTTAGAACTATCAATTCCCAGTCCCTCTGGAGAAAGGAGAGGCCACTGATACAGAGTTCAGTCACCAATGACCAATGATCCTATCAAATTGCCTACCTCCAATCTTCAATTAAAATCCATAAACACTTCATCAGAGAGCCTCAGGGGAAGTAAGGCATCAAGAGATTGTGATGGGAGGAGAGTCCTGAGAGAGTTTGGAAGCTCAGCAGCCCTAACTACCCATTTGCCCTACAATTTCTCAGTCCCTGTGTTTTTTGCTTTAAAACAATTGGGGACAGTAAGTAAAAGGCTTTCCTGAGTTCAGTGAGTGGTTCCAATAAGTTTCTGAATATGGAAGTTTGGTCACGACACCTCTGAGATTATAGCCAATTGATCCCAGGTGTAAGGGACAGAAGGACTTGTGTTGGACACTTGAAGTGTGGGCTGACCTAAGGACCAAGCCCTCAATGTCTGTGGTCTGGGTCACCTCTATGGATTTAGAGTCAGAGTCAATTTACTCCTGAGAACTGATTGCTGTTGGTAGAAAACTCACATATTTCTAGTCAGAGAAAAAACCCAGACTCATTCATGTCTACCATTTGTCTCTGGAGTGAGGGTCAGGGCCCTGGAACTATACTATGTGGGGCCAAGCACTCAGAACCCCACTCCTGTTCTCTGCATTTTCAGAATATCTGGCAGAATCAGGTACTTGATACATTTTACACATTTGTCATCAAAGGTGTCCATTTTCTACCAATTTGGTTTAGTCAAAAAGACTCCTTTGCCTACATTTCCTCATCACCCCTCTAAAAAACTTATCTGTCAAATATAATCATTTCTCTGTTATGAAATTAATGAGAATGCTGAGAGTCAGTTGATCTTCCCTCCAGAGGCAACTGTAAGAAGTGTTTCTGGGACTTTGTTCAAGACAGCAGGCTGTTCTATCCAGATGGTACAACATTAGTCAAGTGAAGGTGATTCACTTTGCTGTCCTGTTTGAGTATTATTTCATTATCCTATCAGGATACAGGGTGTTAGGGGAGACACAAAATTATATAGACAGGCCTCATTAACAAATAGATTAACAGGGAGTTTATTATATCCAGTCTCTTCAATAACTGTGCACTTGGCATGAGTATGGAATGCAAGGAATCAACCTGCCTGCGTTCAGACTATACTACAAAGCCACAGTCATCAAGACAGTATGGTACTGGCACAAAGACAGAAATGTAGATCAATGGAACAGAATAGAAACCCCAGAGATAAATCCACATACCTACGGACACCTTATCTTCAACAAATGAGGCAAGAATGAATATACAATGGAAAAAAGACAATGTCTTTAACAAGTGGTGCTGGGAAAACTGGTCAACCACTTGTAAAAGAATGAAACTAGAACACTTTCTAACACCATACACAAAAATAAACTCAAAATGGATTAAAGATCTAAATGTAAGACCAGAAACTATAAAACTCCTAGAGGAGAACATAGGCAAAACACTCTCCGACATAAATCACAGCAGGATCCTCTATGACCCACATCCCAGAATTTTAGAAATAAAAGCAAAAATAAACAAATGGGACCTAATGAAACTTAAAAGCTTTTGCACAACAAAGGAAACTATAAGCAAGGTGAAAAGACAGCCCTCAGATTGGGAGAAAATAATAGCAAACGAAGCAACAGACAAAGGATTAATCTCAAAAATATACAAGCAACTCCTCCAGCTCAACTCCAGAAAAATAAATGACCCAATCAAAAAATGGGCCAAAGAACTAAACAGACATTTCTCCAAGGAAGACATACAGATGGCTAACAAACACATGAAAAGATGCTCAACATCACTCATTATCAGAGAAATGCAAATCAAAACCACAATGAGGTACCATTACACGCCAGTCAGGATGGCTGCTATCCAAAAGTCTACAAGCAATAAATGCTGGAGAGGGTGTGGAGAAAAGGGAACCCTCTTACACTGTTGGTGGGAATGCAAACTAGTACAGCCACTATGGAGAACAGTGTGGAGATTTCTTAAAAAACTGGAAATAGAACTGCCATATGACCCAGCAATCCCACTTCTGGGCATACACACCGAGGAAACCAGATCTGAAAGAGACACGTGCACCCCAATGTTCATCGCAGCACTGTTTATAATAGCCAGGACATGGAAGCAACCTAGATGCCCATCAGCAGACGAATGGATAAGGAAGCTGTGGTACATATACACCATGGAATATTACTCAGCCATTAAAAAGAATTCATTTGAATCAGCTCTAATGAGATGGATAAAACTGGAGCGCATTATACAGAGTGAAGTAAGCCAGAAAGATAAATACCAATACAGTATACTAATGCATATATATGGAATTCGAAAAGATGGTAATGATAAGCCTATATGCAAAACAGAAAAAGAGACACAGATGTACAGAACAGACTTTTGGACTCTGTGGGAGAAGGCAAGGGTGGGATGTTCAGACAGAACAGCATTGAAACATGTATATTATCAAGGGTGAAACAGATCACCATCCCAGGTTGGATGCATGAGAGAAGTGCTCAGGGCTGGTGCACTGGGAAGACCCAGAGGGATGGGATGGAGAGAGAGGTGGGAGGGGGGTTCAGGATGGGGAACACATGTAAATCCATGGCTGATTCATGTCAATGTATGGTAAAAACCACTACAATACTGTAAAGTAATTAGCCTCCAACTAATAAAAATAAATGGAAAAAAAAACAAATAGATTAACAGGGATTGTATTATATCCAGTCTCTTCAATAACTATGCACCTGGCATGAGTACGAAATGGGAGATGCATTTAATGAAAAATATTTAATAAATACTTATTTTTTTTCCCAGAAGGCATCTTTCTTGATGTAGGGAAAATACTGTAAATAAAATATCATTTTAAAAAATTTCCATATAGTCAGAGTTATGGTTTTAAACAGTATTCATGTAGGCATGTGAGAGCTGGACCATAAAGGAGGCTGAGCCCCCCAAAATAGATGTTTTCAAATTGTGGGGCTGGAGACGACACTTGAGAGTCCTGAGGTTGACAAGGACATCAGATCAGTCAATCCTAAAGAAAATCAACAGTGAATATTCATTGGAAGGACCGAGGCTGAAGCTGAAACTCCAATATGTTGGTCACATGATGCGAAGAGCTGACTCATTGGAAAAGATGCTAATGCTGGGAAAAATTGAAAGAAAGAGGAGATGGGGTGACAGAGGATGAGATGGTTGGATGGCATCATTGACTCAATGAACACGAGTTTGAGCAGATTCTGAGAGATAGTGAAGGACAGGGAAGACTGGCAGCTGCCATCCGTGGGGTCTGAAAGACTTGGACACAACTTAGCGACTGAACAACAACAGACTTTTCCTGATGGCATCCCTAGTAGCTCAGTGGTGAGAGTTCTTCTGCCAGTGCAGGAGAACCGGTAGATACTTAGTTTGGGAAGACCCTCTGGAGAAGGAAATGCTAATCCACTCCAGTACTCTTGCCTGGGAAAACCCATGGGCAGTGGAGCCTGGAGGGCTACAGTCCACGGGTCACAAAGGAGTCAGGCAGGACTTAGGGACTGAACAAGAACAATGGGAAAATGACCTGGTATTAATGAAAAGAGATTGTCTTAAGCAACTCACTATGCTGCTGTGTAGACTTGGGCAAGACATTTCAACTCTCAGAAACACAGATTCATTCTTTATAAAAGAGGATGACGGTATCTGCATTAAGAAATCCCCAACTTTGTTTCCTTTTTAGAAACCTAACATGCTTTGGACACCACAGAACAAGGCAAATTGTCGAGAAGCACATAGAGTTTTAGTTTCCTCGGATCCTGACTGCTCTTTAAAATGTGCTATCAACAGTAGAAAATACAAGGAATTAACAGGACTGGATGTTGTAGTTTCACCTTCTGTAAAAGTTCAGCATTAGAAAGTTCCTCAAGAGCCAGAATGAAGTCACAGTCTCTCCTCCAAATATGTCTCCTTCTTCCTCAGAGGTAAGTGAAAGTCTTCTTGCTTCAGTGAGTTACCTCACCCAAGTCCAGGCCTTTCTCCACCCCACCTTGCCATTATTTGACGCTCTGGTCAAAAGAGTTAAGTGTTAACTATCATCATTACCCATTATTATTATCATTTCAAAGGACTTTGGCTTTGCCAGGAAAAGAATATATGTTTATGGAGGCCATAGACAGTGCTTTGAAAACAGCCCCAGGATGTCAGCAGCATGATCCATGTAACAAATGAAGATGAGGGAAATTTCAGGGACCAGATCACACAGATAGGAAAAGGCAGAACTCGGACACAAGCTGAGGTCCTCTGATCCCAAAACCACAGGTGGCAAGACCAGAGTTGGAGGGAGAGAGAAGGGGGTTGCAAGTGGCTGCAGCAAAACCTCTCTGGATTTCTTCTGGTAAATTGGGCAGTTTTAACTCCAGGGACATTTCTTGACTCTCAGATGGTCACATTATATGTTTAGTCATGGAAAATCAGTGCCTGACCTGATGCTACCAGATCAGGGACCTCATAACTGACACACTATTCCTGGTCACTGCCTTGCCCCTGATCCTACTGTAGTGTCATAAGAAGATCCATATTTGATCCCTTTCTCTGTTCATGCTCCAGGCCATCTGAAAACCTTGGAATTTTATGTATTTTTATAAATCATGAAATGAGTGAAGGATGGGACCTGAGATAGAGCCTGGATGGGACTGGACTCCAGAATTTTCCATCAGCTGATTATAGGGTTAAAACTATCACCCCTCAGCCCCTCTGAGGACAGGAGAGAGTACTGATACTGAGTTTAATCACCAATGGCCAATATTTTATCAACTTGCCTGCCTCCACCCTCAATTAAAACCCATGAATTCTGGGTTCAGAGAGACTCAGGGAAAGTGATAACATCAAGGGACAGAGAAGGGGGAGAATCCTGAGAGGTCTTGGAGGCTTGGCACCCCCAACTCCACATTTACCTGACGTTTCTCCTCCATTAGGCTGTTCCTGAGTTTTAATATTTTATAATACCTGGGGACAGTAAGTAAATGGCTTTCCTGAGTTCTCTGAATATTTCTAATAAGTTATTGAACATGGGACGTGGGTCATGGAACCTGTGAATTTATAGCCAGTCGGTCACAGGTGTAAGTGACAGTAGAAATTGTGATCAACACTTGAGAGTGTGGGCCATCCTGAGTGATGGAGCCCTCATCTTGTGATGTCTGGGTCACCTCTGTGGATTTAGTGTCAGAAGTAAGTAGAGTCTTGAATGCCCAGTGGGTGTGGGGAACTGGTTGCTACTGACAGAGATTCCACATGTTTGGTGTGAGGGACAAAACCCAGACTCACTCTTTTCTACCATTTGTGTCTGGGATGAGGCTCAGTGACAGGATGATATTATGTTGAACAGAGCAGACAGAACCCCTTCCCCGTTCTCTGCAGTTTCAGAATTCCTGGAGAAAAAGTTACTTGATTAAATGGGTTGTGACTTGTCCTGATCCTAACACTCAAACATTTTGTGTCCTGGGGCAAGTCATTTTGCAGTGTCCTCACGTGAACAATTGGCCAGGTTACATGAGTTTTTTTTAAAGGATTAGCAGTCATGACTGGAGAAGGAAATGGCAATCTTCTCCAGTATTCTTACCTGGAGAATTCCATGAACCTGGTAGGCTGCAGTTCATGGGGTCGCAAGGATTTGGACACAACTGAGTGACTAACAACATAGTTGGTTAACAATATTGTGATAGTTTCGGATGGTCAACAAAGCAACTCAGCCACACGTATAAATGCATTCATTCTCCCCCAAACTCTCCTCCCATCCAGGCTGCCACTAACACTGAGCAGTGTTCCATGTGTTCAACTGTTGGTTAGCCAATGTCCCACTTTCTTTTCCAACGGTGACATGTTTCCACCACACATATGTCCAGAAAATAGTATTATAAACTCACAGGCCATTGTCCAGCTGCAATCATTCTCAACATATGGAGAATATTCATAATAAGTATCCTCCCTTTTTGTTCTTTTGGAGTAAATCAGTGGAATAATGTCAATAAATCTATAGATATTCAGTAACAATACATAATTATTTACAGTATTATCCTGTCAGTGTGACACCCAAAGACATTGGTAATAATGTTCTGGACAGAAGGATATCAAAGGGCCTTTTCACACTCATCCCCCTGCACACCTACCATCTCTATTGCAAACAAACTTGTGGTTTCAGTTGTTCATCTGGTAGACCAAACAGTGATGATCATCTTCGTCTTTCACCAAGATCCTCCCATCTCTGCAGCCCTATGACCTGACTTCTGCCTGCTATCTCCATACACGGGTCCCTGCAAGGCCAAAATAATCAGATACTTCCACAAGGCCAGGTCTGGGTTTTTGAAGACATTTGTATCTGGCAGCTGCAAAGCAAAGAATAACAGTGTCAAGATCAGAGAGGTCTGTCCCAGACCCACGGTGATCACGTGCATGACGTAGTGGCTAAAAATAAACTAACACCTTTTCCTGAATACTTACTGTGAGCCCGTCCCATAGGCCACAGTGTTAAATGCCCCTGGAGCAGGTGAGTAATATGGCTGGACATATTTGGAGTGGGGGTGGAGGCAGGGGGGACAATGAGGAACGGCGGGGTTATGGAAACTGGGGAGAACGCTCCCCTCCTGAGAAGAGAGCAGCTCTCCTTAGCTTGGCTCACGGCTTTCAGAGCGTGGTCCCTTGAGCAGCGCCCTCAGTCCTGAAACCCGGTAGATGCAGATACTCAGGTCCCAACCATGTCTTACCAAATCAGACCTCAGACAGTGGAGGGCTCAGCTGTTTCAACAAACGTCTAATGAGTTCATGGCTAATTCATTTCAATGTATGACAAAAACCACTGCAATGTTGTAAATAATTAGCCTCCAACAAATAAAAAAAAAAAAAAATAATAATGAGTTCTGAAGCTCGCTCAGAGTTGAGACTCACTGCCCCCTAGTGGCTCATATGGTAGAGAATCTGCCTGCAATGCAGAGGACCCTAGTTTGATCCCAGCATTGGGAAGATTCCCCTGGAGAAGGGAATGGGTGTCCACTCCAGTATTCTTGCCTGAAGGATCCCATGGACAGAAGAGGGTTCTTGTTGAACGGCAGGACTGTGTTGTCAGATCACTTACTTTTTCCAACAATGTGAAACATTCATTTTTTATAAAACCTCCCACTGTTAAATCCTGTAAATGTTTCAAAATTGTAAGTGGTACTGTGTGGGTTAATACTTAGATGTTAGCCAGATTTGCAATCTCTGCTTAGTGTTTTCCCTTTTAAGCCTGAAAATAATTCTAACAAAAATAGTATTCACAACACCATTGTAAGAAAGTAAACTACTTATTTCCAAAAGCCAGGTGCTGTTTTATCCATTAGCCTGCAATTGACCACATGCTTTGAATATAAATGATGCTCACTGGACAAAGCCTCAGAAAAATCTAAACATCTTTTGCATGCCAAGGATACTTTCCATCCTTTAGGATGTGGCACTAGATAGCATGGAATTCAGATTTCTCATTTTTTAGAGGTAATTACTGAACATGATATGACTGACCAGAGATATGACCTGATATCAGAGTTTTGGGTTCTCTGATTTATCCAGATATAAACCCTGTGATTTTCCTGTCTTGTGATTTCTCTAAAGATGCCCCAGGAACAGAAAGCTTCCTAATCAGAGATCTTAGTTATACAAGACACAGAGAAGAGGGTTGTGGAGAGAGGATCGGCCCATCAGGAAGCTTATGTTCTAGGAAACTGGAGGGGTGTGCTCCCACCTGGGCCAAAGTGAAGACAGGATAGGACAGGAGGACACTGGTTAAGAAAGACAGACAGATGAGAGAGGTGGGTGGGATAAGAGGAGTTTGTGCTCTTAGAGGGAGTCTCTGCTGCTCTCTGGTCTCAGGTGGACAGATTGAGGCAGGAAGAGGGGAAGGGCCAGAGGGCCTCTTGAACTGAAGTCTATTAATCATTTTACGATCTGCAGGTTGTGTGTCCTGAGCAAGTGGCTTCACCTCTTGAGCCACGGCTTTCTCCTTGACACAGTGGGATTAAGGATCCAGATGTTTCTGGTTCATCTGAGACTAAATGAGATCATTCATGTGAAATATCTCAGGAGAGAGCAGACCCTCCCCTCACACTGGCTATTTTATGTGTAACTGGCTACTGATGTCCTTCTGTCCTGGGATAACTCGGTATTAAGACATACTGCCTTTCTCAAGTGTGCTACATGGTTTTAACTACAAGTAAACACACAAGGATGAGAGAAGGGTCTGTGGGTGTGTCACCCCTGATGTGTGCACTCTGGTTTACAGCTTCCCACGCAGCAGAGTGCATGTGAACAACTCTGAAGTCAGATCCCTGGGCCCGAATCCTCTCTCTACCAGCTATCATCTAAGTAAATTACTTTATTTCTTGTTATCTCAGGTACCTCCTCAGTCACATGAGGAAATATCAACAGTTTCTCCCCTTTCTTTAAAAATTTTTGAGGACTTGATGAGTTTTATGTGTTAGGTGCTTAGGATAATGCCTGCCAAAATGAGAAATTTAAGTTTTTCCTGATGTAATTATTCATCACTGCTATAATTACTACTACAAAGAACTTTGACTCCTCCAGAGAAGGAATGCATACCAGTTGCCTCCACTGCTTCCACGGCAGCCACATGATGTGGGAAGAACAAATCTCACATGACACCTGAAGACATGAGGTTCTGGGAGATTTAAATCCTCAGGCACAAAGTTAGGAATACACAGAGCTGGTACCCTAATTGAGGTCCTATGACCCCATCACCAATGAGGGAGAGTAGGAGGAAGAAGGTGGCCACAGGAAGTCTTCTAAGGTCCCCTGAAGTCCACTCACGCAGGCAGCACTTCTGTTTGCAACACCAGGAGAGGGAGAGCAAGTGGTTATGTGGTGGAGACGTATTCACTTCCCTGCTTCCTTCGGCCCCCTCCCCTTACTCGTTTTTCAAAGCAGAATGAGGGTTATACTCTAGGATGGCCTAACTTTCTCCAGCTCAGTTCCTGCCTGGACCAATGCCTGAAAAAGAGCAAGTGTCCATCCAGTGGAGAAGCTGTGGCAATGGTTGCAGGAAGCTGTCCTGTGTCACCCCTGTCATCTGAGGTAGTTGAGGGGGGTCAGGGCATTGAGGCCCAGATGTGATGAAAGTAGCACAAGGCTGAAAAGGAGGACCTGGGCTAACACACTGCTATTCACCTATATGTCCTTTGATCCATTCTCATCCCCTCATTGGCCGTATATCGTGTGCCACGCACTGTTCTAGGTGCTCAGATGTCTCTGAATGTCCGTATTGGACACACTCCACCTGTCTGATCATAATTTGTGCTTACATTAGACCCACAGGCATAATCAAGCTTGATAACTGCTGTTCTTAGACTAGTTCTCAGACTTGGCCCCTGCAGACAGAAGGCATGGTTAGCAGGGAGATTTCGCAATAAACAGGACTGACCCAGCTCCTCCCATGCCTCACTCCCTTCCTCATCCTCTGATCCCACCCCTCAGCCAGGATATTAAAAGCTCAGTCTGTCTGTCCCCAGCATCCTCAGGAGCCCTCCTGCAAGGCCACGAAGATGAACCGGCTCTGCCTTTCTGCAGCCCTTCTCTTCCTCCTGGTTATCCTGGTGGACAGCACCCCGGTGTATGAACACCATACCCAGGACCAAGGTAGGTCCAGACTCACCTCTCTTGGACAGAGTGGAGGGAAATGATGGAAGTCAATGGAAGGGCTGGGGCCAGTTATGACCACACTGCTACCAGTCTTCTCTGGATTTCTCCTGTCACATTGGGCAAGATGTTTGTTTGTTCAGTTTTGGCAGCATTGGTCTTCTTGACTATGCGAGGACATTCCCTAGTTACCAGGGCTACTCTCTGTTTGTGGTGTGTGGGCTTCTCATTGGGATGGCTTCTCTTCTTGCTGAGGAGGGACTCTAGGCCTCTGGGCTCAGTAATTGCAGATCACCTGCTTAGTTACCCCAAGGCACATGGAATCTTCCCAATCAGGATCAAGCCCATGTCCCCCACATTAGTATGTGGATTCTTATATACTGGACCACCAGGGAAGTCTTATGTTGGAAACTTTTAACTCTACTGACATCATGACGCTCATAAGGATATGTATTAAAATTTTATATTAAATATATATCTATCCCACCTAACTCTACTAGATCAGGGCCCATTTCTGAGACCCTATTCCTGGTCCCTGCCTTACCCATGAACCTTGCTGTTGTGTAGTAATAAAAAGCTGCATATTTGATCTTTGTTTTGGTTAATAGCCCAGGCCTCCTAAAACTTGGGATTTACTGACTTTATAGGTTATAAGATGAGTCACAAGAGGAGACTCAAGGTACCTTCAGGATGGGGCTGGTCTCCAAGAAACTTCAAACATCCATTTCACGGTTCCAGTTTTCCCCATGTCTCATTCCAGCACCTCTGTGGAGAGGGGAGAGACCTGAGAGTGAGATCAATCACCAATGGCTGATGATCCAACCACTGTGGCTGTTTAGTGAACCGTAGGAAGAAATACATTAAACTGGGCTCAGAGAGCTTGTGTGTTTTTGAAAACAGGAAGCTGATGTGAGGGTGCTGTGCTCACTAGGGCACATAGGCTGGGCACACCTCCCTCCCCCTTTGCATACACATATCTTCCATTTTACTGCCTTGAGTTACATTTTGTATAATTATCTGGGAAGTGTAAGCAAGTGTTTTTCCTAAGTTCAACCACCAATTGTATTGAGCTGTTGATTTTGAAGGTGGGTCATGGACATCCCAATTTTTGCCATTTGATCACAAGCATGAGCGACTCGGGACCTCAGGGTTGGCAGCTGAGTTGAGGGTGGTCTTGAGTCCTCACCCTGCAGAATCTGCACTAACTCCACAGATTTCTAATCAAAAGCAAAGTGACTTGCTAGACACCCAGTGGGTGTCTGGGGACTCGGTTGCTCTTAAAGGACCACATATTTGTTGTCACAGTAAAACCCAGACTCACTCTCCCCTGTGATTCAGGGGCTCAGGTGATGCTCCAAAAGGGGGGATTCATGAAAGTAGGACCTTGCACCCAGAAACTGTTCTCAGTTATCTGTATTTTCAGAGTTCCTGGCAGAATGAGGTAGTGTATCAAATGGATTGTAATGTGACAGTGTCTTGTCCTGACACAGATAGCTACGTGTCCTCGGGAAAGTCATCTGCTATTTTCTCACTGGAACAGGGGATACATGTTACACGGGTTTTTGAACAGAAACCAATCATGAATATAAAGAGTTGAATCACATTTCATGGTGAATTTTGTGCATTTTCCACCAAGATGTGTTCATCTGAAAACGATTTCTCTACCTACTTGCTCTGGTTGAGAATGTATATTTAGGTGTCAAGTAGCAATCATTCCTCTATTGTGAATATAACCAGAAAAACCTGGGATGAGTGAGCAGCAGATCCACTGCAGAAAAAAACAAGAAACACACAGAGCCCAGTGTGGTTTTGCCCCTGGGACCAAGGCTGATACAATATTAGAAAAGTCTCCAGGCCCTTTCCTTTGTCCTCTTTTGACTATTACTTTATTATCCATATTGTCCCCTTCCTTGTCCACTGTTGACTATCACTTTATTATTCATATTTGATGCTTGTCCTGTTGCATGAGCCCAGCCTCCTGAAACTCCTGAAATCTACTCTTTCACAGGTCTGGAGACAAGCCATAGAAGGGCACCTGAGAAGCGTTCAATAATAGACGTGATTAGAAATGTCATCGGCGGTGTGGTTAAAGGTTTGAACTTTTTCCACCTCTGGGGAGTGGGGAGGGCACTGGGATTGAGAACAATCACCACTGGCCAAGGATTCAATCAATATGCCTGTTTAGTGAAACCTCAATGAAAATCCATAAATATGTGCATTCAGGGAGCTTTTGGGGTGGTATCACATGACAGTGATGTGAGGGTCCAGTGTTCTCTAGGACATGAAGGCTCCTCACAACTCCACTTCCACTTTGCCCTGCATGTCTCACTCATTTTTGCTGTGCTTAGATTTATCCTTAGTAATAACATGAGAGCTGTGTTTGAGTGGGGTTCCTGAGTTTGGTAGTCAGTTTTATTGAGTTATTGAACATGGAGTGGTAATGTTTCTTCCAAGTTTTAGCTATTTTGTCAAATCACAAGCACTTCACTGTCATCTGAATTGAGGACAGTTTTGAGCCCTCAACATGCAGAATCTGTACTAACTCCCCGGATTTTGTACTGGAATAAAACTGACTTGCAGACATCCAGTGGGTGTTTGGGGAATTGGATGTTGTTGCGAGAGACACTACATATTTGGTGTCAGGGAAACCCAAACTCACATTATGTGTGTTTTGGGAGCTCAGGTGAATTCTGGAGACAGGGAAGTAATGAAAGTGGGACAATGAACCCAGAAACTGTCAGCAGTTATTGGTATTTTCAGAGTTCCTGGCAGAATAGGATAGTATATCAAATGGGTTGTGACATGAACTTATCTTGTCCTGACCTGCCACACACACACTGTGTGTCCTGGGGCAAGTCATCTACAGCTTCCTCATCTGAACAGCAGACACCTGCTACATGGATTCTTTGAACATATTACTGGCCATAACTATAAGAAGTTTATTCACCTTCATGGCCAATTTTGGTTATTTTCCTGTGGCTATGTTCATTTGAAATAATTTCTCTACCTACTTGCTTGGGGTCAGAAAGAATAATTATGTGTCAAATAATGATTATTTCTCTCTTATAAAAATTAATCAGAATGACCTGGGAAAAATGATCAGAGTATTTAGGCTTTTTCTTTTGTCCACATTTCACTATCATTTTATTATCCATATTTGATCTTTGTCTTGGTTCATTGTCCAAGACTCCAAAATTTTGGAATTTTTGTCTTTCATAGGTACCAAGATATTTCATGGACTAAAAGGATTGGCTGACATAATCAGTAATGGAATTCAAGGTTTGAGACTTCTTCACCTTAGGGGGAAGGGAGGGCACTGAGGTTGAGATCAGTCATCACTGCCCAAAGATTCAATCAATATCCCTATTGAAGGAAACCTCAGTAAAAGTTAAAAAATAAAAATAAAACTCCATAAATTCTGACATTCAGAGAGCTTATGGGTGGGAACCAATGGTGGTGATGAGAGGATGCTGTGCTCTCTGGGGCATGAATGCTCACCACACCTCCACTCTTTCTCTGCCCTGCATGTTTCTTCCATTTCACTGTTTCTGAGTTTTCTCTAGTATATTAATCTGAGGACAGTAAGTATAGGTTTTTCTGAGTTCAGGCACCAGTTCGATTGAGATATTGAGCTTGGAGGTGGGGTCATGGAGACTACCACTTTTAGTTACTTGGTCATAAGTACGAGTGACTCGAACCACATGGCTGGCATCTGAAGTCAGGAGAGTCTTGATACCTCAACCTGTGGCATGGGCACTAACTCCAAAGATATGGTATCAGAAGTCAATTGACAGTAGGGCGCCCACTGGGTATCGGGAATTGGATGGGGTTGGTGCAGAAACCATATCTTTGCAGTCAGAAAAAATCCCAGACTCACCATGCCTTGTGATTTGAGGGCTCACATGAGGCTTGGGAAGGTGAGTAGTGAGAATAGGACACTGCACCCAGAAACTCTTTTCCAGTTATCTATATTTTCAAGCTCCTAGCAGAATCAATAGTGTATCAATGGGGTGTGATATGACAGTGTCTTGTCCTGATCCCACCACCCACATGCTTGTGTCACAGGGCAAGTCATCTGCAGTTTCCTCATCTGAATAGGGGAGATTTCTTACATGAGTTCTTTGAACTGATGATAAGTCGTGAATATAAACAGTTTATCCCCATTTCATAACCAGATTTGTCCATTTTCCACCACAATGTGTTAATCTGAAAAAACTTTCTCTACCTACTTGTTTTGGACAATTAAAGCTATTTCTTTATCAAATAATGATTATTTCTATCTTATGAAAACTAATTGAAAGATGCAGAGCCACTGAGAAGAGCAACTGCAGGGAAAGCAAGAAACACAGCCCCTGTGTGGTAGGCTGTGGGACCAAGCCTGAGACAATGTTACTGAAGTCTCCAGGCTCCTTCCCCTGTCCTTTTTGACTGTCATTTTCCTGTTCATATTTGATCGTTTCCCTGTTTCATGGACCAGGCCTCCTGAAACTCTTGCAATTTACTCTCCTTTGTAGGTCAGGTGATGATATCTGGAACACAGCTTGAGAACCATACAGTCGAGGAGTTCCCAACACAAATACTCAAACATGGTAAGAAAGGTTTTGTATTTTCTGCACCTCTGGTGAGAGGGAAGGTCACTGAGATTGAGATCAGTCACCAATGGCCAATGATTCAATCAATAAGCCTGTTTATTGAAACCTCAGTTCAGTCAGTTTAGTTCGGTCACTCAGTCATTTCTGACTCTTGGTGACCCCATGGACTGCAGCACGCCAGGCCTTCCTGGCCATCACCATCTACTGGAGCTGACTTTTTCACTCTCCTCTTTAACTTTCATCAAGTGGTTCTTTAGATCTTCTTCACTTTAGAACCTCAAACCTGCATAAATATTGGGATTCAGAGAGTTTTTGGGTGGTGAATACAAATACATGACATGAGAATGCTGTGCTCACGAGAGCATGAAGGCTCTGTGAACCTACAGTCCCCCTTCGTCCTACACATCTCTTCCATTTCACTCTTTGTGAATTTTCCTTTCTATTAATCTGAGAACGGGCTTCCCTTGTAGCTCAGTCGGTAAAGACTCTGCCCGCAGTACAGGAGACTCGGGTTCAATCCCTGGGTTGGGAAGATCCCCTGGAGAAGGAAATGACAACCCACTCCAGTATCCTTGTCTGGAAAAGAGCCTGGTGGGCTGCAATCCATGGGGTCGCAAAAAGTCGGGCACGACTGAGTGACTAACACTTAGCTACTTACTTAATCTGAGAACAATCAGTAAGGGTTTTCCTTAGTTTGGTTGTCAGTTCCATTCTATTACTGAACATGGAGATGTGGTCATGGAACCTCCAAATTTTAGCCATTTGGTCACAAGCATAAATAACTTTGGACTACACAGTTGGTACTAAAGTGAGGACAGTTGTGATCCCTCAATGGGTGGGATCTGTACTAACCGCACGAATTTCATTTCACATGTTAAGTGACTCGGGGACACCCAGGAGTGGTTTGGGGAATTGGCTGATGTTGGTCCAGATGACACATATTTGGTGTCAAAGGATACCCAAACTCACTCTCTGCTGTGATTTGGGACCTTAGGTGAGGTTTGCAGACAGGGAAGTAATGAAAGTAGGACACTGCATCCAGAAACTCATAAAAGTAAGTGGTATTTTTAGAATTCCTGGTAGAATCAGGTATTGTATCAGATGGGTTATGACGTGATAGTATCTTGTCCTGACTCTACCACCCCTATGCTCTGTGTTCTAGGGCAAGTCATCTGCAATTTCCTCAACTGACTAGCACAATAATATACAAGCATTCTTTAACAGATTATCAGTCATGAATATAAATAATCTATTCACATTTCATGACCAATTTTGTCCATTTTCCACCAGTGTGTTAATCTGAAGAACATGACCCTTGACCTCCTTTGGTCAAGAGATAATATTAATATGTCAAGTAATGATTATTCCTCTATTATTAAAATAGACAGACACAGGATCACTGAGCAGGGAAGCTGCAGGAACACAAGAAACACAGTCTTTGTCTCACGGGATCTAGGTTAAGACAATACAAGCAAAGTCTCTAGGCCCTTTCACTTGTCCTCTTTTGACTATTATTTTATTAATCCTATATTTGATCCATATTTGATCCTTGTCCTGCTTCATAGCCCAGGCCTCCTGAAACTCTTGGAATTTCCTTTCTTTGTTAAGTCATGAGACCATCAGGGAAAGCAACCCAGGAAATCTTCAGGTCTGGGCTGGTCCTCCAAAAACTTAAAACACCCATTTAGAGGTTGGAAATGTCACCACTTTCTTGCCAGCGCCTCTGAGGAGGAAGGAAGACTCTGAGATTAAGATCAATCAACAATGGCCACTAACTCAGTCAATATGGCTATTTATTGAAAACCTCCATAAGAATACATATTTGGTTTAAGAGACGTTTTGAGGTTAATGATAACCCATACAGACTATTTCACTATCCTGTAGGGAGACTGAATGTTAGAGGGAGATTGACCATTGTGTAGATGTGCCCCATCTTCTACTAAAAGGAAATCAATTATATCCATTCTATTTGATGACTGCACACTTGTGGAGAGGATGACAATGGGAGTTATTATGTCCCTACAATGCATTGTTCTTGGGGTGGAGAAACAGCTGTGAAAAAATATGGTAATATAGCTTGCCTTGTAGTAGGGAGACAAACAATAGCAAGGAGGATAACTCCTATGGTAGGCTATAAGCTTTTAGAAGGTAGAGAGTGGTGCGCAGAACGGACGCTGTGCTTTTTCTCCACAGTTTCAGGGAAACCTTCTGTGATAAGGAGGCATTGGGCAGAGGCTGCAGAAATAACGTGCCCGGTCTGTTTGAGCAGCAGCTAGGTCTAGGGTGGCTGGAGCTGAGTGGGTGGAGGAAAGGGGAGTGGAAGGGGATGAGGCAGAGATGCCATGGGGGCAGGTCGTGAGGAGCCTTGTGGGCCTTTATGAGAATCAGAGCTTGATTCTCAGAGAAAAGCGGAGTCACTGAGGAGGTGGTCTCGGGAGCAACGGGATGGATAGGGCTCAGTAACAGGACCTCTGAGGCTGCAGTGCACAGAGTGTCCTCTAGGGGGCAAAGAGCAGAGACAGAGGCCCAGTGCCCAGCGAGCAGGCTGCTGCAGCGGTCTACATGGAGTGTGACCTACGTTGTCCCCTGGATGGATCCCAGGTCTCTCTAATAAAATGAATGTCTTGCTCTGTTGAAGTTTCTATGGAGGCTTAATTACCTAGTCATGATGCATTAAATCATTAGCCATTGGAGATCGTTCAGCAGACAGCTCCATTATCCTCCCAGAGGTTGAGGGAAGGCAAAGAGGTGGTGGATAGAAGACCACGGTGGAGGGTGGGAATGAAAGTGCCCACCACCCTGTAGACAGTCTTTTCCTGTGCAATAACCCGTTCTGGTTTACAAGTGTCTTTCCAAAATACTGTCTTCACATACCAGAAGACACTTATATTGTTCTCATCACATTAGAAATACCAAGATGTTTAGGAACTCAGTGTCAGAAAAAGGATCAAAAAACAAAAACAAACACAAACCACATCTATTTCTTCTTATAATCACAGTATCAACATGTTAGTTCAACATTCAATTTATTCAGTCCTCCTGAGGGATCAGAAGTAAACACACTGGTATGTTTCCTTCAGGCCCTTTTCCATTATAACATGATTCCTTCACATTTTTTATTTACAGTGGAAAGTTTTTACCATATACAAAGGCACAGAGAACAATATTATAAAACCCAGGTACCCAGACCCAGTATTTATTGACATATAGGGAATGATTTTCACCTGTGACCTCTTTTTGTTGCTATAGAGTTGTGTATTTCTTTTTTTTAACATTTATTTGGTGCTTTTGGTGTTAGTTGCAAGCCACAGGCTCAGTAGTTGTGGCCTGCTGACTTAGATGTCCCTCAGGATGTGGGACTTTAATTCTCTTACAAAGGGATTGAACCCTGGACTCCTGCATTGGAAGGCAGATTCTTAACCAGTTGCCCACCAGGGAAGTTCTTTAGAAGTTTTTGAGGCTAAGCAAAGGCATTATACCAATGTTTGTTAAAATACTTCATGAGGAGATATAGAAGTGTACATGGTTAATATATCATGTCACCCCTAGCAACATTCCTAATTCTGTCCCAGAAAGAAGGGTTTCAAATGGCCTTTTCCATCTGAACATCCTCCACGAGCCTAGCAGTCTCTATCGCAAAGAAACTGGCGGTTCTAGCTGTTGTCCTTGTACGAGCTGTGATGACCGTCCTCATAACTGAGCCATTGCCCCTCCTTTCCCAGCAGCTTCTAAGCCTGAATTCTGCCTGGAGCCTGAATTAAAGGGTCCCTGCAAGGACCAGATGACCCGGTACTTCTACAATGCCAAAACCGGGTACTGTGAGCCATTTGTATATGGCGGCTGTGAAGGGAACAAGAACAACTTCCAGACGTTATCAGACTGCACAGTGACCTGCTGTCCAGTGACAGTATCCCTGTGGTAAGACAGGGGGCAGGGCACAGGGGGAGGGGACGGACTGGGGAAGGAGGTGGAGCTCAGGGGACCACTCACCAGTCACACCTGCACAGTGTCTTCCTCCTTAATGCTTCCTGGGAGAAGAGGCGGCAGTGTCCTGTGAAACCACACACTGAGCAAGTTCTCCAGGGGTCAGCTTGGCAGGTCAAAGCGAGATGCCTTTTATGACAATCTGAGCCTAATCACATGCTCCTCCATCTTAGACAGGAATACTGAATCAACCACCCTTCAGCACAGGTCTGCAGTGCTCCTGAGCACCCCACCTTGGCATGGAAAACTTACTTCCTTATTGTCTGCCATTCAGGGCATGAGGACTATGGTTTCATATTTTTGGAAACTCTAGGCTCTGTCAAGATGATGGGTGTCCACATCTGGGCTACAATGATGACACTCAACAAGTTCCTTTCTTTTTGCAGAGGACATGTGAAGAGTGGTTCCCAGAAAATGTGACGTCCGAGGAGGAACCCTGCAGGGCTGGGCCATGGCTGCTTCTGAAACTGTTCAGTCTCTCGCAGTCCTTCTATCCCCTACCTTCCTCAGCAGAACCTGTATAATTCCTTTCTTCTATTGGTCAACATGTCTAAGTCTGTCTCACCCAGCTGGCTCTCAGCACCACAAGAACATCTTCCCTTTATTCCTAGCACTGAGCTCAGCTGCTGGCACCAAGGACACAGTTCCTAATTATTGAAGGAAGAAAGGAAGAAATGTAGGAGCACATTCGTCATGACCAGAGTAACTATAGAGCCTGCAGTTTGACACAGGATTTTTGTCTTAAACCATATCCTCACTACATCCTCACCTTCATCCCCCTCCCCACCATCACTGCTCTCTTTGTGAGTGCCGAATGTGGAGTTTCTCGCATCCAGTTCTCAGAATCAGTAATGGGAGAAGGGTATGCGATGAAAGCTTCTTCTTTTTTTTTTTATTTATTTTTTTATTTTTTTTTCCATTTATTTTTATTAGTTGGAGGCTAAGTACTTTACAACATTGCAGTGGTTTTTGTCATACATTGAAATGAATTAGCCATGGATTTACATGTATTCCCCATCCCGGTCCCCCCTCCCACCTCCCTCTCCACCCCATCCCTCTGGGTCTTCCCAGTGCACCAGGCCTGAGCATCCTACAATGATGTTGGAATTTTCCTTTCCGTAGTTTCAAACACTGGCTTATATTTCAATAATAATGCATTTTAATAAATAATTCAATAATGCATTTCAATAAATGCATATTCTAAACTAAACTGACTGGAGTGGAGTCTTTTGCATGAAACTACAAACCTTAACCAAGAGGGTCCATGGGAATATTGGTCTTTCTCACTGTTCTGCAGACAGTGGGCACCTCCCGGTTCACTGTCCAGAGACTGTCCCTACCAGGTATCGGAAGCAAACTCATCACAGCATCATTGACCTGTTAATAGCCACTCCAAGCTACACAGAAACCTGGGAGACACAAATCTCCACATGAGCTTTCATTTCTTTCTTCTAAGTTCAGTCAAATTTGGGGACAGGCTGTCTTCCTGGACCTTAGGAATAGGCATGAGGCTCAGTTGTCCATTTTCTAAGGAATATGATTCCCTGAAGTGACAGGTGGGGAGGGACTTTTTACTTTAGTTAAAGAAGGGCAATTACCATTTAGTATTCCAGTCTCTGTGTAAGCGTTTTGCCTGTATTATTCTATTAATCATGCTTAGAATCCTTCAAGGAAGAGAATGGCCTCATAGAGATGGCACTTATATCCTTTATTCATTTTGTAAGATGGCAGGTCTCCACTCTCCCAAGTAAAGGGACTTTGATGACATTACCCTGCTCTGCTTCTAGAAAGATTTAGGATGGTTGCACCTGGAAAACAGAGAGTATCTGTTTCAATTCAGATTGGTGAAGTTTGACTTGGGGACCTTAGCAAGTAGGGTATTTAAATGAATGAGAACACACAGGGTGCTGATGCTGTTACTCCCTTCCTTGAAGTCTTTGGCAAATTCTCAACATCTCTGAGCTTTGCTTTCTTTAGTTATAAAATAAGGCCCCAGATCACAGAGTTAGCAAAAGAAAGAACTGGGACTCCAACTGGATTGTCTGTTCTAAGAACCCCTAGTGCAGAGTCCAGAGTTGTGGTGGGGTAGTGTGGCAGTGATCTTCCAAGGTCCCTGAGGTCCACTCAGGAAGGCAACTCTCCTGTTGGTGAAACCAGGAGAGGGGCAGTGTGTGGTCAGCTCTGGCGACATTGCTTGTCTCTTCCTCCCTTTTGCCCATTCCCCTTACTTTTTTCCTACCCAGAATATCAGGGTTTGTGCCCCAGATGGAGATGCTCTTCCCCCAGCTCAACGTCTGCCTGGGCCAGTGGCAAGTAAAGATCTGGTGTCTGTCCAGTAGAGAGGCTGCCACAATGGTTGCTGATAGCTTACCTGTGTCATACCTGTCTTCTGAAGTAGGTGGGGTTAATGTAAGAGGGGGGGCATTGACACCCAAGTGTGATGACACCTGCATGAGTCTGTAAAGGAGGACCTGAGCGAACACACTACTGTTTACTTACTCTTCCTTTGATCTGCTCTCACCCACTCACTGATCATCCAATGCCATGTGCTGCTCTAGGTGCTGGGATGCTCCTTGTGTGACCATATTGCACCAAATTCCACCAGTAGAATCACATTCTGTGTTTTCATGAGACCACAGAGTCAAGTTTGAGAATCAGGGTACTTGGCATTTGGCCCCACCAGACAGAAACAGGACAGAGGAGCTTGGTGGACTATAGTCCATGGGAATCTCAGAGTCAGACCAGATTGAGTGACTCAGCAGGCATGCACACACAGGCAGAAGCAGGACAACGGAAGCTGGAGAGATTACATGTTGTACATGACTGACCCCAAATCCTCTGTCTCCTCACTGCCCTCCTTCTCACCTGTTCTTACCCATCTGCTGGGATATAAACTGATCTCTCAGCATCTGTCTTTCCATAGACGTCCTTCTGCAAGGTCACAAACGTGAACAGACTCTGCTCCTCTGCAGCCCTGCTCATTCTCCTGGGCAGCATGCTGGGCAGCATCCCTGGAGGTGAAACAAGCAACCAGGCTCAGGGTAAGTCCCAGCTCACCTCTTCTCTACAGACCGGAGGGAAAGGAGGTGAGTCTACGGAAGAGGCAGGAAGACGGTTATGGTGGATGCTGCTAGCCCTCTTTGGATTTCTTCTGGAAAGTGAGCGGTTGGACTCCAGGGACATTTCTTGACTCAAACACAAAAAGCAAATATTAAAAGCAGCAAAAAAACCCAATAAATAACACACAAGGGGATTCCCATAAGGATAACAGCTGATCTTTCAATAGAAACTCTTCAGGTTAGAAGGGAATGGCAGGACATACTTAAAATGATGAAAGAGAAAAATCTATATCCCAGTATATTATACCCATTAAGGATCTCATTCAAGTATGAAGGAGAAATCAAAACTTTACAGACAAGCAAAAGCTGAGAATTCAGCACCAACAAACCAGCTCTTCAACAAATGCTAAAGGATCTTCTCTAGACAGGAAACACAGAAAACATTTATAAACTCAAACCCAAAACAACCAAGTTAATGGCAACAGGGTCATAGTTATCAATAATTGCCTTAAATGTAAATGGGTTGCATGCCCCACCAAAAGATAAAGACTGGCTGAATGGATACAAAAACAAGACCCCTATATATGCTGTCTACAAGAGACCCACCTCCAAACAAAGGACACATACAGACTGAAAGTGAAGGGCTGGAAAATGCTATTTCATGCAAATGGAGAACAACCAAGAGCAGGAGTAGCCATATTCATATCAGATAAAATAGACTTTGAAATAAAGCCCATGAAAACAGACAAAGAAGGAAACTACAAAACGATCAAAGGATCATTCCAAGAAGAAGATATAGCAATTATAAATATATATGCACCCAACATAGAAGCACCACAATATGTAAGGCAAATGCTAAGAAGTATGAAACGGGAAATTAACAATAACACAATAATAGTGGGAGAACTTAATACCCCATGCACACCTATGGATAGACCAACTAAACAGAAAACGAACAAGGAAACACAAACTTTAAATGATACAATGGATAAGTTATACCTAATTGATATCTATAGGACTATTTCACTCCAAAACAATGAATTTCACCATTTTCTCAAGTGCACATGGGACATTCTCCAGGATAGATCATATCCTGGGCCATAGATCTAGCCTTAGTAAATTTAAAAAAAAAGATTGAAATCATTTCAAGCATCTTTTCTGATCACGATGCAGTAAGATTAGATATCAACTAAGGGAAAAAAACTATTAAAAATGCAAACAGATGGAGGCTAAAAAACATGCTTCTGAATAACCAACAAATCACAAAAGAAATCAGAAAAGAAATAAAAATATCCATAGAAATGAATGAAAATGAAAACATGACGACCCAAAACCTATGGGATTCAGTAAAAGTAGTGTTAAGGGGAAGGGTCATAGCAATCCAAGCTTACCTCAAGGAAGAAGAGAAAAATCAAATACATAACCTAACTTTACAACTAAAGCAACTAGAAAAAGAAGAAATGAGGAACCCTATGGAGAAGGAAATGGCAACCCACTCCAATGTTCTTGCCTGGAGAATCCCAGGGATGGAGGAGCCTGGTGGGCTGCCAACTGTGGGATCACACAGAGTCGGACACGACTGAAGCAACTTAACAGCAGCAGTAGGGTTAGTAGAAGGAAAGAAATCATAAAAATTAGAGAAGAAATAAATGAAAAAGAAATAAAGGAGACTATAGCAAAAATCAACAAAACTAAAAGGTGGTTCTTGAGAAGGTAAATAAAATAGACACAGCATTAGGCAGACTCATCAAGAAAAAAAGGGACAAGAATCAAATCAATCAAATTAGAAATGAAAACAGAAAAATCACAACAGACAACACAGACATACAAAGGATCATAAGAGACCACTGTCAGGAACTATATGCCAATAAAATGGATAACTTGGAAGAAATGGGTGAATTCTTAGAAAAGTATAACCTTCCAACACTGAACCAGGAAGAAATAGAAAATCTTAACAGACCCATCACAAGCACCAAAATCAAAACTGGAATAAAAAAATCTTCCAGCAAACAAAAGCCCAGCACCAGATGGATTCGCAGCTGAATTTTACCAAAAATTCAGAGAAGAGCTAACTCCTATCCTACTCAAGTCCTTCCAAAATATTGCAGAGGAAGATAAACTGTCAAATGAATTCTATGAAGACACCATCACCATAATACCAAAATCACACAAAGATGCTGCAAAAAAGAAAAAGAAAACTACAGGCCAATATAACTGATGAATATAAATGCAAAAATCCTTAACAAAATTCTAGCAAACAGAATCCAACATTTAAAAAGATCATACATCATGACCAAGTGGGCTTTATCTCAGGGATGCAAGAATTCTTCAATATTGGCAAACCAATCAACGTGATACACCACATTAACAAATTGAAAGATAAAAACCATATGATTATCTCAATAGATACAGAGAAAGCATTTGACAAAATTCAACATCTATTTATTATAAAAACCCTCTGGAAAGCAGGCAGAGAGGGAACATACCTAAACATAATAAAAGCCATATATGATAAACCCACAGCAGACATGATCCTCAATGGTGAAAAATTGAAAACATTTCCCCTAAAGTTAGGAACAAGACAAGGGTGTCCACTCTCACTACTACTATTCAACATAGTTTTAGTAGTTTTAGCCACAGCAATCAGAAAAGAAAAAGAAATGAAAGGAATCCAGATTGGAAAAGAAGTAAAATTCTCACTGTTTGCAGATGACATGATTCTCTACATAGAAAACCCTAAAGACACCACCAGAAAATTACTAGAGCTAATCAATGAATATAGTAAATATGCAAGATATA